TTTCAGATTGCCTCAAATTCTACTTTTCTGATTTCCTGATTTTCTAATTTTCTGATTTCTGATTTATTACCTTTTAATTTTGAATTTTACTGATGGTCTTATTTTTTTATTATCTAAATTTCTGATTCTGTGACAATCTGATTTTCTGATTTTAATTTCGATTTTATTACCTGATTTTCTGATTTTCTCAATTTCTTATTCTCAGAATCTCTGATTTTCATTTCATGATTTCCTGAATTTTTATTTTTTTTTTTTTCGATTTTCTTATTCAATGAGATGCTGTCTTTTTCTAATTTTCTGATTTTCGATCAGATTTCATAATTGTCTGATTTTATGATTATCAGAGTTTCAGATTTTCATTTCTGATTTAATGATATGCTGATTTTCTGATTTTATGATTTTCTGACATTCTACATTTCTGAATTTGATGATGTTCTGATTTTCTGATTTACTGAATATCCGATTTCTGAAATCTGACGATCCGATTTTCTAATTTTTATATTTATTATTTTTTTATTTTTCAATGATCTGAAGTTCTGGTTTTTTGTTTCTTTAATATTCTACTTTCTGATAATCTGATTTCATGTTTTTAAGATTATGTGAGTACCTAATTTTTATAATCACAGATTTTCAGGTTACCTTATGTTCTATTTTCTGATTATTTGTTTTCTGATTTTCTGTTTTCAGATTTTCTATTTTCTGATTTTCTGTTTTCTGATTATCTGTTTTCTGATTTTCGGTTTTCTGATTTTCTGTTTTTTGATTTTCTGATTTTCTGTTTTCTGATATCCGACTTTTTTTTAATCTTCGGTGATGTTCTGATTTTCTGATTATCTTAATTTATGATTAGCTGACAATCTGATTTTCTGTATTTGATTTCGATTTTATTACCTGATTTTCCGATTTTCTCAAGTTCATAATGATTTTCTAAATTTCTTGGTGAACTTGGATTCGTACGAACAATGCTTAACAAGTTCTGTTCACAAACGTTTATTTGCCTTTTCTTTGGATTTTCTGATGTTCTGATTTATGATTTTTTCTGATATTCTGACATTCAAATTCTCAGATTTTTTGATTTTTAGTTATGATTTTGATTTATTTTTTTTTGATTTCCTGATTTTCTGATTTTCTGGCTTCTGATTCCTGATTCTTTAGAATTTCTGTTGATCTTATTTTCTAATTTTCTGAAATTTGAATTTTCTGATATTCTGATCTTACGATTTTCTAATTTTTGGATTTCTGATTTTGTTTTCGGTTTGGTTTTCTTATTTTCTGATTTGCTGATTTTTTATTTTGATTTTCTGAATTTCTGGTCATACTTTGGCTCGTTCGAAAAAGCCTTAACAAGTTCTGTTTACAAAAGTTGATGGGCCCTTTTCAAATGAAATGCGAGTTTTTGTTTTAAATCCTGATATTTTGATGATCTGATTTTCTGATGTTTTGATTTCTAATATCAAATTTCTTAATATGCAGATTTCCTGAATTTCTAATTTTTTGTTTTGCTGAATTTAAGATTTTCTGATATTCGGATTTCCTGAATCGGTTTTGAGTTTGATTTTCTGACGTTCTCATGATCTAATTTCCGAATTTTGATTTACTCAATGTTTGGGCGTACTTGGGTTCGCACGAAAATGATTTTTTGTCTTCCTGACTTTCTGATTTTCTTATTTACTGCTTGTCTAATATTCTGAAGTTTATTTTTTCTGATTATCTTGTTTTTTTTTATATATATTTTATCCGGTTATATGATTTTCTGATTTTCCCATTCTTTGTTTTTTTATGTTCTGATTATCTGATTTAAGTTATGATTTTAAATTTGATGTTGATTTCGATTTTGATTTTTAGTTTTTCTGAGTTTCTAATTTTCTAGTTTACTGATTTTCTGATATTCTGTTGTTAAGATTATCAAATTTTCTAATTTTTATGCCTTTTTTAATAGCTGATTTTAGCGGCACCGGTGCTGTAGTGGTGAGCGATCAGACAGGCCTGGGTTCAATTCCAGTCAGTGCCGCCGGGATGTTCTGAGGCATAACATCTTTGATCACGCCTTCCTTCGGAAGGGAAGTAAAGCCGTTGGTCCCGTTCATGAGTTGATGGGTCGATAGGTAGGGGCCAGGTGCGGGAGCTGCCTCCCTGTCACGGGAGCATTGGTGCTCTGCACGGAAAACAAATCAAGGAAAAAAAAATAGCTGATTATCTGATTTTCTTAGTTTCTAATATTCTGATTTACTGCTTATCAGATTTAAAAAATTTATAGTTTTTTTTTTTTTTTCTTATAATTTCTTATAGTCTCATATTAAATTATTCTCAAAATCTCATATTTTCAATGCGTCTGATTTGAAATCATCTGAATTTCTGTTTCATGATTGTCTGATAAAATCATATAAAATCATATAAAATCGATCAATTGGAAATTGGACAACCGAAAATTGATCAATTGAAAGCTGCACAATTTATAATTGGGCAGTTGAAAATTGAACAATCAAAAGGTGAACAAATTGAAACTTGGCAGTTGCAAATTGGACGCTTGAAAATTGGACAGATTGGGCATTTTCGAATTATTTTGTTTTAAATTAAACCACTGACATTTGTACAGCAAAATTGAACCATTGAATAATGGAGTATTAAAAATCATTAAATAATTCAAAAATCATTGAATCATTCAGAACCGATCACTTCTTAACCGATGCCAAGGTGGTCATATGATCTTATGATTGGGAGTCTTTTGAAAATAATCAATGTGTTGTCACTTTGATAGGTAAGATTTGGTTAATGTCCCTAATGTCGTCCTAAATTGAACCCATTCGAAGGAAATAATTTTTCGACCATTTTTTGGCTGCAAGCAAAAGTACATATTCATTTGTATTGTCCAGATAGCTAATTTTTCCAATTAAAAATGAAGTACTGATGATTTTTATCGATAAAGTCAAGCTTTAGATCCATGTGCCATCAATAAAGCCATTAAACGTGCATTCTCTAATATATATATACCTATCAATCATAAATTGTACAATATACAATGGAATGGAACACTTGGAAACAGGACATTTGAAAGTTCGACTGTGGAAAATTGATCAATTCAAAGTAGGATTTTTGCGAATTGGACGACTGTAAATTGAACAGTGCACATTGGACTTCTTAAAATTGTATAATTGGAATAGACTATGGGGAATCGGACAAGCGGAAATTGGTCAATTGAAAATTGAAAATTTGAATGTTGGACCTAATTGTAAACTGCACTTCTAAAAATTCGACAGCTGTACATTGGACCCTTCAAAATTGGACAGTTGAAAGTTGGGCATTTCAAAATTTGAATCCACTGTCATTTGTACTCCAAAATTAAATAATTGAAAATTGATCGATTCAAAATCGGACAATTGAACAAAGGAGCATCGAAAATGGATCTCCCTCCCATTTTTGAATCATTCAGAGCTACAATCTACAAACTATCATCGCCGCATTAACTATAACTGTCGGTGAACGTACCTCAACTACCACCCAAAAACCACATTCAACCGGAGCATTCAATATGTAGGCCGCCGAAACCAATCACTCTCGACTGCGCTTAGCGAGTGACTGGCTGTTGTGTTCCTCGCGTGTGGTTTTTCCTGGCTCCTGTGGGAGCTCCATCTCATAAACAATCGCTCGGTTTTGCATTCGACGTGCATTGGATTGGATTGAAGGCATGCGTGCACCCCATTCATTGCCATGGTTTGGTGAGTTTCCATCTGGTGCGGAAGGAGCGCAACGGATTTCGATAGATTCATATCCAGTGGTGGACTACGGGCACGATTACATCGGGCGACGAATGTTGAAAATTTTGGCACCCCAACCGAGAGGAAAGCTCGCCGGGCGGGATGCATCGCTCGGCGAGGTTTCCACTCGGATGGGGTCTAAAAAAAGAGGAATGCAAAACTAAGCCATCCAGTGTATTTTCGGTGCGTGGTTTGTAAAGCTCACCAACCGGACAGCGATTATGGCAGATTAACATTGTAGGTTGGTTGAATAAATGATGGGCTTTCCGCCCAAATGCCAGTCTCTGGTACAGTGATTCCATATGTGTTCACCGATGTACTGCTATTGAATATGATATCTGTAGCGTAATTGTAGCGATGCGGAAAACGGATCAGAATTCCGGGATTTATTAATTAACATCAAGTTCATTGGTTTCGGGTGGATATCGAAATTGAGCGAGAATGTCGGGTCTGATTTGGTAGGTGTGCTTGACATGAATTAGATTGTACCACCATCATCATCATCATCATCATCATTGTAGTTGCAGTATATTTCGATGGGAATTATTTGCTGCGATCATGAAATTTTGATCTAAATTTTGGGATCAATCATTTCTCATAATTTATGCACCGATAAATTGAATCAAATTCACGGAATTTTTGCGCTCGCTGGATATTGTGAGCAACATTTTGTATTTAGCAACATTGTATTTAGCTGTTTTAATTAAGGATTACCGGCGCTCCGACCGGCGCGAGGTGGTTTGTGTTGTTTGTGGTGTCAATTTGTTTACGGATTAATGACTGGCCGCGCTGGTCGGGCAGTGTGGTTATGAATATTTTACTTAATCCCCCCAGAAGCAGCGGCAGCACAGTTCGAAGGATTCCCCGCGCAATGGACGGACGGATTAGCTTGGGAGAAAAATATCCCACCTTCAAGTCCTGTTGACGCGGTTGAATGAAATATTTATTCGATAAAAGCGATTGTTGCGATGCGAAATTATCCAGGATGTGAATCAGTAATAATGCCGTGCTGGATTATAATCGATACAATTAAAATGTAAAATCAGATTAGTTCTGATTTCGAGAACAAGTTAATCTCCCCTTTCCGACCATTCAGGTATCCGAAAAACCTACATTTCAGTTAGCCAACACTGGGCAAAATCTCGACGACAAAGCGATTTGGTTTGAACGTTATTCAAGTGATAAGTGCTTCCAAACAAAACTCTTGCAATCATGCTAAAACCGCTGTACATTTTCCTCCTCCAGGGAACGCTACTGTTCCTGAAGCTGTACGGCAATCCAGAGATTGTGAAGACGCACTGTAACCGAACGGCAACCGTAAGTACCATCTACTGATTATTCGTCCCCTTAAGTACGTAGAGCCAGAACAATAACAATAGGTTAAGAGTCAAAAATTCGAAATTGTACCAGGGCAACTAACCATCGTATGGATATTAGCATTCTTCGAAACGAATCGATGAACCGTTCCACACATTTACAACTTCCAGTAACCATATAGATCTGAAATGCAATGGAATAAAAAAATTGTCTCCCGCGGGTGACTGTCGGAAACAGTACAGATGGTGAATGTTTTTCCTGTTGCTTCATTGCTAGAAAGGAGAGCAATTCCGTGTCTGTCTCCAGCGTGTATTGTTTCGGATGAGTTGGATTTTTGTTTTTGTATGCATATGTCTTGCGGCGTTTTGGAAAATATGATGATAAAAGAGCTATCAGGATGATTGACTGAGTTGTAAATTGATCAGAAAAATTGCTAGTCGCAAAACATGAATTTCGAAATTCTGACAAAAGTTGCAAGCATATTAATCCACGAACAACATACGAAAAGAGCGATGTAAATTCATATTAAGCTAGTAGGTAATTGTCTCGAGAAAATAATGAAATAAAATTTTACATTTTCACACATACATCCAGCATCAATGGAATCAGAGTTCCGAATTGATAAAACAAATGAGGTTCAGGAGGCGGTTGGTTCGATTACCGGTCAGGGCAAGGAATTCTTCAGCCATTTTAAAAAAGGCAAATCAATTGGGTCATAGTTATACCACATTGATAAATTATTTCTATAGGACAAGATTTGAAACAGCTTTCAATGTTTCGCTACGTCTGGGAGATCCACTAGTTGAAACTTTTTTTTAAGTCCACAATTTTGAAAATTTTCCTAATTGATATAAGGACAATATTTTTTTTTTTTGTTTATTAAAGACATTTTACATCTCCGCGATGCATTCATGTCCGTTCGATTTGATGTTTGGTGTATTGTGTATGGTGTGCAAGTGTTTTTGGTTAGTGTAAGTGCTACAATTCAGTTGCTTCTCTCGTCTTTTCTTCATTGCTTCCAAACAATTACTTTTTTCCTTCGCTTCACTTCATACTACTCTCCTACTTCGCTTTTTTTCACGAATTTCTTCATCTTTCTACCATCTTTACCTGTGTAATTTGTTATTCTACAGTTCTTTTAATTTGTTATTCTAGTCTTCTACTTCGTGTTGCTTAAAATTTCTTTCACCTGTGCAATTTGTTATTCTAAAGTTCTTGTAATTTGTTATTCTATAGTTTTGTGTACAAATCCGTTTCATGTAGGAAATTAAGCATTTGTGTTGTTCTTTCTTCCGTGTTGGCCAGAACTTCACGTAGACTGGCGCTGATGTCATTTTTACTTCTCTCTTCGTCGTATTTCCTACACTCAAGAATGATGTGCTTTACATCCAACACCGTGCCATAACATTCACACACCGGTGGGGCTTCCTTCTTCAGAAGAAACGTGTGGGTTAGTCGCGTATGGCCGATTCTCAGACGTGTAAGCATACGCTGGTCGGCTGAACTTCCTCGTTCTGTCCATCTGTGCGTGTTGAAATTCACCTCCCTCAGCTTCGATTCTGTTGTGCTAAACCACTGCCTATTCCACTGACCACGTATCGCATGTTTTACCGCTTTTATCGCATCTTCGCTTGGAATCGGTACGCCGATGGCTGGTTGTCTTCTAGCCTCATTGGCTAGTCGGTCAGCTTCAGAGTTTCCCCTAATGCCGGCGTGTCCAGGGATCCAGCAGAAACGCATGATTTTGCTTTGCACGATTCTCTCTACTTCCTGCACCCAAGGGTGCCGGGAAGTTCCAGCCTTCAAAGCCAGTAGGAAGCTTGCGGAGTCCGTCAGAATAACCAACTCATTTTGAACATTAGGGATGGTGGCGGCCATTTTAATAGCGTAAGCCTCCGCAGAGAAAACACTACATTCCTTCGGAAGACTGTAGGTCCTAGATAACCCTTCGTTGAAGAATGCAGCTCCTACCGTGTCTTCACACTTGGAGCCGTCCGTGTAGACGATGGTTGAACTACGGAAGCGGGTTTCCAGTAATTTTCGAACAACTGGACGAACTTTCTCCGGTGGGTCTCCAACGCGTATGCTTCTTTTCACATCCCACACTATCGTCGGTTTTCGTGCGTGCCACAAGCGATTGCTCTGCCTCACGAGTGAACCGACAGCAGGAAGCGTTGAACCGGTTAATTCTTGGAGGCGATTTGAAGCGCGTGTAATCAGAGGTAGGGTGCTGCTGTTTTGGTTCTTTGTGAGCATTCGGATGGCAATGCGTACTGTGGTCTGTGCTGCTAGCAGTTCGAAGGGTAGAGTCCCAGCTTCGGCCATCACCGAGTTAATCGGGCTCGTCACGAATGCTCCGGAAGCGGAGCGAACCATTTTGTTGTAGGCAGGAGCGAGAGTCTGCAAGGTTGCTGGCCCTCCTCGACTAACAAGTCCAATCCCGTAGAGCAGCTTCGCAGTAACTATGGCTGACCCAACTTGCAGCAGAGAAGTCCGATTGCCACGTGGAAGTTTTGCACCGATCAGCTGTAAAATTCGTAACCGAGATACGCATGCTTTCTTAACCATATTACAGTGAGGTTTGAAGGATAACGTTCGGTCCATGGTTACACCTAAAATCCTCAGCCGGTTGGTCTTTGGCACGGGAGTTCCCTCGATAGAGATATCCCGCACGGGATCCCGTCGTGCGTTCGGACTGCAGTAGAAGACATGTGACTTTGTTGCCGACACAGTGAAACCAACGCTTTTCGTCCATTTGTTGATGGCTTTGACGGCGGCCTGTAGTTTTCGGTGTAAGCCTTCAGTTTTAGCACCTCGCACTGCTAAGAGGATATCGTCCGCGTACAAAAGAATGAAGACTCTGTTGGGCACTACTCGGAAGATGGGCTGCATCGCGATGAGGAACAGCGTCACTGACAGGACAGAGCCCTGCGGAACTCCGTTTTTCAACGGATACTGGCGAGGCATATGCCCCCCAACGGATACCTGGATCGTTCGCTCCGAGAGGAAGCTTTTCATCATGTTCAGCATCCAACCACGTATTCTCCATGACCTCAGAGTGCGGATTATGCCGCACCGCCAGGTGGTGTCGTAAGCCTTCGACAGGTCCAGGGATGCTATCAGACAGTGCTCGTCTGTGCTTGGAAGCGTTCTCTCGAGCTCGGAAAAATACGTGTCGGTGCCTCGCCTGGCACGGAAAGCGTGCTGTCGTTTGTCGAGTCGCCCACTCGACTCTAGCTCGGTGATCAATCGTCGATTTATGATGCGTTCAAGCAGCTTCGCCATGCAACTAGTGAACGAGATTGGACGGAACGCAGCGGGTCCGGTATCGAGGCAGTTTGACTTTGGAATGGGCACCACGATTGCATTTCGCCAGCTGGTGGGAAACTCTCCATTACGCCAGATCCGGTTGAGCAGCTCTAGCAGTGTCATCTTCACGGACAAAGGTAGACGTCGAAGCATTGGGTACCCTATCATGTCGGGTCCTGTCGAGGCAGCTTGCCCTTTCTCGAGAGCCCACGTCATCCGTGTTTGGCGAAACATCTATGGACTCTCTTTCAGCTGCTGCCTTAGTCTTCTGAAAAGAAGTAGGGTAACTGGAGGTCGCAGATCTATCGCTGTAAAAACTGGCTAGAATACTGCGGAAGCGTTTCTTCGGGGTCATCGGTGAAGCCATCCGATCGCTTGAGTGCGACGGTACGTTGTTGTCGGCTGCCACGTAGCGTGTTCATCGTTCGCCACAGTTCGGTTTTCGTGCTGCTTGGTGCAATTTTGGCCACGAAGTTCTCCCACGATCGTTCTTTTGCTTCCTTTATCGCCTTATCCTTGCTACAGCTCTGGTTTCCTGAAACCTCGCCAATGCAGCGGGTTGATCAGGATCAGATGTCTGCAGCCGCCGCAGAGATCGAAGACACTTTCGTTGATGTCGAATCGCCGCCTTCGCTTCAGGGCACCACCATGGTACCGCTTTAGGCCCCATACGGCCGCTGGTTTGCGGTATGGCACGAGTTGCTGCTGCAATTATCTTCTCCGTGAAGCTGCCTACGTCCCATTCAACATCTGGCCGGATGGTTTCTGCGGTGATACGTTCATATAACGACCAATCGTACAACCATTTCCGCCGCGTCGTTCGTGAGGATGACCACCCAGGAATAGAAACTGTTATCGGGAAATGGACAATATTGATAGAATCTACAAATGGCCGCTATCATGGCTGGTTTAACAAGGAAACCCACTCTTTCATTCTGGAAACTTGACGTATTGGGCCCAGTGTTTCATCTGAACAAAATAAACAACTCTTCCATCAACGTCAAAATTCCACAGCCTACTGTTTTGAGTTATTAGGAAAACAGGAAATATTTCTTGAAAAAACTGTTTACCAAACAGTTAAGGGGGTATTCCCAATCTTTTGCCTTTTTTCGGCCTGTTTTTCAATTAATTTTTTTTCAAGGAAAATGAATAGTAATGCGCCTAACTCTTTGGGATTCTTGTTTATTGAACATTAAAGTTTACAAATAAATTTTTTTCGACATAAAAAAAGACATTATTGACGTCACAAAATGGTGGCAAACAGACCCCTGTTCGCCGCAAACGCCTGGACGGGCGAAGACTTTTCTCTGGAACGGCTTCATCTGAAACAGATTTCGTGATGAAATTATAATCTGCATAAGATTCTCTGGAGCTTCTTCCGTTGGCAGCAAAAAATCTTGCAAATTAACAAAATGGCGGCCATATGAAAAAACAGGCGATTTTTAGCCCGCTTTTGTGCAGCTTTAAGGTGCTTCAAAAAATGTTAAATGTTAATATTTTTGGCTGAAAGTGGGAGAAGCTCCAAAGAATTTAATAAGGAACCAAATGCGCAAAGATTCAAGTCAATATCTCTTATAGTTTCTGAGAAAAATCTTCGCCCGATAAAAAAAATGTGGTTTCGAGAAAAACGCGTTTAAAGTTTTGACTTTAGTTAAAACCATTTGGGGGTTCTTACCATTAGTCAGCTATGC